TAACACAACTGCCGCCCATCCTCCCTCATTAACATCATAGAGGCAAGATTTACAACATACAGGAAAACCATACAATACCAGGAATCATGGCCAAGCCAAATTGATACACACATTTTTGGGGGGACATAATTCAAACCATGACATCAAGTAACTTATTTTTCCTGGGAATGAACTTAGTGCTATTTAGTAATACTTAGTGCTGTGGGTAGTTCATTTCTGCCTTCATGGAAAATTAAGAGAAAAATGGAAGACCAGATGTTACTGACAACATCAGTAATATCTTCAGCAGTAACAAAGGAAAAGTAACTTCAAATCTCACCTCACATTAAAGGTTAACTAAAGATCGTATCTTTCTTTAAAAAAAAACTTAATAAAATTATATTTTAATTTATATGCAGCTCCATCATAGATTTCTTCTATGAGAAAAAAGCCAGAGGGCAGGAGAGAAGGAGGAGGGTAGAAAGAAAGAGAGACGAGGTACTGAAAAAAGAGGGAGAGGGAGAGAGAAGAAGGGGAAGGGAGGAGAAGAAAGGGGAGGAAGGAGGACAGAGGGAAGAGAGAGAGATCACCTCATCAATGATTTCACATACAAGGATTTAACATAAATATATGCTTGTTTCTAAGACTCAGAATGGGGTAAATTTACTAGACATAATGTGAAATACCCCATTACCAAAATAACAGACACTATACATTTTTAATAGAATAAAGAGTATCATTTAAAAATTCTTCAATGGAATTGGTATGAATGATCAGAAATGAATTAGGATGTGTTATTAAAGTACATAAGTTATACGGACTATGAAATTTGTTACATAGGGGGTTTGCAGCAGAAGTGACTACAAAAATTACCTTTGTCACTTAAAGACATTACCCTTTAAGATCAAGAGGCTTTACATCCATTCATTCTCCAAGTAAAAATAGTGGTAATAGCCTAATTAACCTTTATCCCTTTGAAGTTCATCCTTGGAGACAGCATCAGCACAGGCATCAAAGTACTTCTGTAGAGTATCAACTTGTCTACATAAGATGTCTCTAAAAGTTTCCATTTCAGCCAATTTCTCACGTAAACTGTGGCCTTTCTGCAAAACAAAAAATAGGGAGGGTGGGGGGAGGATGTTGAAATCCAAGTGAAAAAAAAAAGGTAATTTATTTGGTCCTATGGTATTTCATCACCATTTAAAGTCTGTACCTTAATACTGAGAGTATGAGTTAGGGAGAGCTCATGTCAAGTTCAACATAGTATTACTGGGAATAGACTTGAAATTGACTGTATAATGGCTTGGTAACGATAAGCTTGAAGGTAACAAGAAAGTAATAACCATGACAATTTGTTAATATAAAGTTAGTATTTTCAAATAGACATTGTCAGGAAAAATATTACTAGTGCCCTTTCAAAGAAATGGTGAATGATCCCTAAGGGAGCGTATTATCAGATCTAGAAGTCTTTGTCTTTCACTGCATCTGAGCTGCTTTACAACTCTGTAAGAAATAGAAATTGAGAGTAATGTAAATGATTCATGTCCTAGAGATGCAAATGAACTTAGTTCAGTGGAGATGCACTGATTATCATCCCGTGAATACTGACCAGTTTTGCATATATTAACAAATTCATTTCAGCATTCTTGATTATCTATTTTCTGTAAACCAATTTTTTCCTTACATCTAAATATCACTAATTAATGAATGAAATCAAATCTTAGACGTTGTTCATCTTACAGGTGTGTAAGTCTATTCACTCCTTAAATAAAAATTATAACTTCAAATAAATTACACTGCAGGAAACTTACTTTAAAAACACTATCAAGTAAGATCTGTTCACAACATCCAACACTAAACTCAATTTATGTTGCCTTAATGTAAAGCACTCATAATCACAAACCTTGAATGAAGAGGTGGATGTTGCAGAATAGCCACTTGCTCCAGACACCAGTGACACCATTGAGCCATGTCGGCGCAGGCTGGATTCAGAGCCATATCCGGATTCGGTCTAAAAAGAAAGTAAACTACCATGAGAAAATTTAAAATAAAAAATACTTAAAAGAAACAAAAGCTTTCCTACATATTAATAGGTTATTAAATAAATAATTAGCAGTTTGGGTTCACTCAAGACAAAAGCAATCCAATGGCATATACAATGCCTTTCAGTTCCTAATTGCAATTTAAATTAGAAATTTACTAAGTATCTATGACATGCTGGGCTGTTGTTGTCAGGTGCCAATGAGTTCGTTCTGACTCATAGCAACCTTATGTACAACAGAACAAAACACTGCCAGATCCTGCGTCACCCTCACAATCATTGCTATGCTTGAGTTCACTGCTGCAGCCACTTTGTCAATCCATCTTAACGAGGGTCTTCCTTTTTTTCACTGACCCTCTACTTTACTTAGCATGATGTCCTTCTTCAGGGACTGATCCCTCCTGATTCCATGTACAAAGTACATGAGACGAAGTCTTGTCATCCGCACTTCTTAGAAGCATTCTGGCTGTACTTCTTCCAAGACAAATTTGTAGGTTCTTCTGGCAGTTCACGGTGTCTGTAATATTCTTTGCTAACACCATAACTGAAATGCATCAATTCTTCTTCAGTCTTCCTTATTCACTGACCAGCTTTTGTATGCATATGAAAACCAAAACCAAACCTGTTGCCACCGAGTCAATTCCGACTCAGTCACCCTGCAGAACAGAGTAGAACTGCCCTATGGGGTTTCCAAGGAGCAAACTGCCAATCTATTGGTTAACAGCTGAGTTCTTAACCACGAGGGCTCCATATACATATGAGGCAACCGAAAATACCAAGGCTCAGGTCAGGCGCACCTTAGTCCTCAAAGTGACATCTTTGCTTTTTAACACTTTAAAGAGATCTTCTGCAGCAGATTTGACCAATACAATACATTGTTTAATTTCCTGACTGCTGTTTCCATGGGCATTGATTGTGGATCCAAGTAAAATGAAATCCTTTACAACTTCAGTATTTTCTCCATTTATCATGATGTTGCTTATAGGTCCAGTTTTGAGAATTTCTGCTTTCTTTATGTTGAGGTGTAATCCATACTGAAGGCTGTAGTCTTTGATCTTTATGAGTAAGTGCTTCAAGTCCCCTTTGTTTTTAGCAAGCAAGGTTATGTCATCTGCGTATTGCAGATTATTAATGAGTCTTCCTCCAATCCTGATTTTGAGTTCTTCTTCATATATACAGTTCAGTTTTCAGATTATTTGCTCAGCATCCAGATTTATTAAGTATGGTTGAAAGGATACAACCCTGATGCACACTTTTCCTGATTTTAAACCACACAGTAACCCCTTGTTCTGTATGAATGACTGCCTCTTGGTCTATGTACAGGTTCCACATGAGTACAATTAAGAGTTCTGGAATTCTCATTCTTCGCAATGTTACCCATAATTTGTTATAATCTATAGAGACGAATGTATTTGCATAGTTAACAGAACACATGTAAACATCTTTTTGGTATTCTCTGCTTTTAGCCAAGATCCATCTGACATCAGCAATGATATTCTTTGTTCCACGTCCTCTTCTGAATCTGGCTTGAATTTCTGGCGCCTCTTGTCAATGTACTGCTGTAACCGTTTTTTAATTATCTTCAGCATAATTTCACTTGTGTAGGATACTAATGATACTGTTCGATAATTTCCGGAGTCTGTTGGATCATCTTTCTTTGAAATGGCCACAAATACGGACCTCTTTCAGTGGGTTGCCCAGGAAGCTGTCTTCCAATTTTCTCAGCATAGATGAGTGAGTGCTTCTAGCGTTGCATCCATTTGTTGAAACATCTCATTTGGTATTCTGTCAATTCCTGGAGCCTTGTTTTTCATCATTTCCTTCAGTGCAGCTCAGACTTCTTCCTTCAAAACCACTGGTTCTTGCTCATATGCTACCTCCTGAAATGGCTGAACACTGACCATTTTTTTTGGTACAGTGATTCTGTATATTCCTTCCATCTTCTTTTGATGCTTCCTGTGTCATTCAATATTTGCCCATAGAATCCTTCAGTATTGCAACTTAAGGCTTGAATTTTTTCTTCAGTTCTTCCAGCTTGAGAAATGCCAAGCATGTTCTTCCCTCTAGGTTTTCTAACTCCAGGTCTTTGCACATGTCATTATAATACTTTGTCTTCTCAAGCCACCCTTGCAAATCTTCTGTTCAGCTTTTATTTCACCATTTCTTCTTTTCAGCTATTTTACGTTCAAGAGAAAGTTTCAAAGTCTCTTCTGGCATCCATTTTGGTCTTTTCTTTCTTTCCTGCCTTTTTTTAATGACTGTCATGGATTGAATTGTGTCCCCCCAAAATGTCTGTCAACTTGGGTAGCTGCCATTCCCGGTATGACTGTCTACCATTTTGGCATCTGATGTTATTTCCCTATGTGTTGTAAATCCTATCACTATGATGTTAATGAGATGGATTAGCAGCAGTTATACTGATGAGATCTACAAGATTAGATAATGTCTTAAGCCAATCTTTTTTGACATATAAAAGACAGAAGTGAGCAGAGAGACATGGGGACCTTATACCACAAGAAAGCGGTGCCGGGAGCAAAGCGTGTCCTTTGGACCTGAGGTTCCTACATTGAGATGCTCCCAGACCAAGGGAAGACTGATGCCTCACAAGGACCTTCCGCCAGAGCTGATAGAAAGAGAAAGCCTTCCCCTGGAGCTGGTGCCCTGAATCTGGACATCTAGCCTACTGGATTGCGAGTGAATAAACTCTAAAGCTATCCACTTGTGGTATTTCTGTTACAGCAACACTAGATGCCTAAGACAATGACCCTTTGCTTTCTGCATGTATGATGTCATTCCACATCTCATCAGGTCTTTGGTCATTAGTGTTCAATGTTGTCAAATCTATTCTTGAGTGATCTTCAAATTCAGGTAGGATACTCAAGGTTGATATTTTGGCTCTCATGGACTTGTTTTAATTTTCTTCAGCTTCAACTTAAACTCTTATATGAGCAACTGATAGTCTGTTCCATAGTCAGTCCCTGGGCTTGTTCTGACTGATGATATTGTGCTTTTTATCATCTCTTTCCACAAATGTAGTTGACTTGATTCCTGAGTATTCCATCTGGTGAGGTCCACATGTACAGTAGCCATTTATGCTGCTGAAGAAAGGTTTATCTGCAATGAAGAAGTCATTGGTCTTCTTGCCAAACTCTATCATGTGATCTCCGGCGTCGTTTCTATCATCAGGCCATATTTTCCAAATACCAATCCTTCTTGTTTGCAACTTTTGCATACCAATCACCAGTAATTATCAATGCATCCTGATTGCATGTCTGATCAATTTCAGACTGCGGAAGTTGGTAAAAATGTTCAATTTCTTCATCTTTGGCATTAGTGGTTGGTGTGTAAACTTGAGTAATAGTCATATTAACGGGTCTTCCTTGTAGATGTGTGGATATTATCCTATTACTGACAGCACTGTACTTCAGGATGGATCCTGAAATGTTTTTTTTGACAATGAACGCGATGACGTCCCTCTTCAATTTGCCATTCCCGGCATAGTAGACCATATGATTGTCTTATTCAAAAAGGTTAGTGGGCTAAAAAGCAAAAGAGTGTTTAATAATTGGAAAACTTTCAGAACTACTGTATTATATGATGAATCACTTATCCTGACACAGCAAAATATCACTGTTTTAATGAAGTCTCCTCTTATACCAGGCTGTTTTTTTTTTCTGTATTCCCAACCATTTTTAACATATCACAGTTATAGCATTCATCATTCAACTGTAATAGTTTACATTTTCTAAGTACTACTGGTCTTGGATCTTCTGGAAGCAGAATGTAGCTCTTTTATTTCTGAAGCCACCATGACAGTTCATTGCATAAAGAAAGTTCCCAATTTTGCCAGTCTGTAAGTAACTATGCAAGGAAGATTACTAGAGTCCTATATGTTGGTATATATTTAGATTCAGCACTGTGGTAATGCTGTTGTTAGTTGGCGCTGACTCACGGCAAACCCCATGTATAACAGAAAAATATTGCCTGGTCCTACACCATCTTCACAATCATTGGTATGTTTGAGCCCATTGTTGTGGCTATTGTGTTAATCCATCTCATTGAGACTCCCTTGCCTGTGTTGGTCCTCCACTTTTCCAAACGTGATGTCCTTCACCATTGGTAACCTCCTGATGACTCATCCAAACTAAGTGAGTAGAAGTCTCTGACAATATTCTGTGATCCGTAGGGTTTTCACTGGCTAATTTTTGGAAATAGATCACCAGGGTTTTCTTCTCAATAAGTCAGTCTGAAAGCTAATGGGTACATTTTGAGGATGTAATTATGCCTCAGTAAACTTGCTAAACGAAAAAGGCAAGCTTATTTCTATATTACAGAATCATACCAAAAAGGAATTCTGATTACAGCAATCATATAGTTCACAAAAAATAAGACTTCAATTTATTAAAAGTCCTGCAGCAAAGGTAGTGTGTTAGGTTCTTTACCTAAAATCACTAGTTTCTTCTTCCTCCCTCTTTTAAGTGTAGTTTTTCTACATTGTGGTTGCTATACTGCTTTGGCAAAGTTTTTCGTTAGATATATAGAAGATTGCATAAAAATAGGAAAATCTATCTGTAATAGGCTAAAAATATAAGGTACTTCAGAAGTCAGTTATCTCAGATACTGTCTTCTTAGTCATCTAGTGCTGCTATAACAGAAATACCACAAATGGATGGCTTTAACAAAGAGAAATTTATTCTTTCATAGTCTAGGAGGCTAGAAGTCCAAAGTCAGGGTGCCCGCTGTACGGGAAGGATTTCTGTCTCTGTTGGTTCTGGCGGAAGGTCCTTGTCACCAATCTTCCCCCAGTCTAGGAGCATCTCAGCGGAGGGACCCCAAGTCCAAAGGACATGCTGTGCACCTGGTGCTGCTTTCTTGGTGGTATAGGTCCCCCTGTCTCTCTGCTGGCTTCTCTTTTATATCTCAACAGAGAATGACTCAAGATATAATCTAATCTTGTAGAGTGAGTTCTG